CTAACCAAACTTTGAAATTCGCCCGCGCACGCCCGCGCACGCCCGCGCACGCCCGCGCACGCCCGCGCACGCCCGCGCACGCCCGCGCACGCCCGCGCACGCCCGCGCACGCCTGACGCGTTGCCCTCGACGGCTTCGCGGACGCTCATCGTCGTCAGCAGCACCGACCACTCCAGAGGCGGGGCGAGCCAGGCAGTGCTAGCCGCCAATCTGGCGTATCGCGCTTCCTTTGTGCGCTTCGCCCAGAGCCGCGGCTATGACGTCAGCCTGCGGGAGCCCGGCTCCGCGGACGACGACCTCGCCTTCTTGGGTGGGGCCGATACTTTCATCGCAGGCGGAGGGGGCTACTCGCTCGCAGCCGCCGTCGTGACCCGCTACGCGCTTGGTGGCACCGTCCTCTTTCCGCAGCCAATTTGCGACCGGTCGCCAAACAGCCGCAACCGGAAGCACGCTCGCGAGAACGCGGCGTCGACACAGTGAGCTCGAGACGCGAGGTGCTCATGAGCCGTGGTTCTTGTCGAGCTAACGTACGGCCGAGGAAAGAGTCGATGCGTTGCGTGCGCTTTCATGGTAAATTATTTTTGTGTATCGAGGGGCGTGGCTGGTGCGTGGGCCGCGTCTCTCGCCTCCTTTAGGCACTTGTGGGCGCAGAGAGAGAGATTTGGTTTTTGTTCGCGCCGGTGAGCGATAGAGGGGCAAAGAAGGAAAACAGAGAACCCAAACGAGTGCCGCCGGTGCATATCCTGCCGAGGCCGGGCTGCACTCAGAGTAGGTAGGTAGGTAGAAAGATGAACAACAGTCAGGCTCGGACTGGACACCAGCGCGGTATGGGTGGACGCGGGACAGATGATACTCAGACGGCGCTCTCAAAAAAGAAAAAAAGAAAAAAGAAAAGGAAGGTCACATTGCGACACGCTTTGGCGGCTCACACCTAAGACAAGGTCAAAGGCTTGCAGTGTTAGCTGCCTTTGGCTCGTACCACCTCACCGCCGAGCCGTCCACGCACTGGGGCTGCGCGGACCTGTGCGGACCAAACGCCACTCTCGCATGCGTGCAAAGCTCGGAGGAAAACGAGTACGTGGCGCGCCTCGCCGCCGATGCGGGCGTGACTTGGTTCTGGATCGGCAACTACCAGCGGCCCGCCGAAGCGGAGCCCGGCGGCGGCTGGGACGTTTGCCAGTCCGGCGAGACGGCAAACTTTGTCAATTGGGACAAGTTTGAGCCAAACAATTATCGCGGCGCAGAAGAGTGCGCCCTTATGATCGATGGGTTGTGGCACGACGGCCATTGCTACCTTGAGTTCCCCTGCCTCTGCAAGTCGGGCGCCAACCCCTCCCCAGAGTACATGGCCTTCGCGGAGGTGGAGCGCGAGCGGGACAAGTCCCTTCGCGCTGGGGCCCCCGTCCTGCATTACATGGCGCTTGCTTTTTGTTTTGCCGTGTCCGGGCTCAGCCTGGTCTGGGCGCTGGTCTGCCTTTTCCGAGACGTGGGGGGAAAGCACGAGCAGTTTGCGGGTGCGGGCCTAGAGATGGTGCAGAGCGACGCGGGGCTTGGTCCGCACGACCAGGGGGTGCACGCCTCGCTCCTTTCTTGGGACGTCATGCTGTTCCGCTGCAGCTGGCTGCGCTCGCGCCCACCCGGTTACGTGCTGCCGCGCCGGCAGGACCTGCCACCAGAGGCGCTGTTTCCGCCCGAGGAGGGGGCCGCGCTTTTTGCTCGGCAGGACCGCAGCGCGTGTGCGCTCACCTAGGGCTGTGCGCCCCGCCCTGCAACCCCCCCCCCCCCCCCCTGTGTGGAGCGTCTCAGCCTCTCGCATACTGCACGATAGGGTCCACGCCACACCACCCCGACCCAAGCGGCGAGAACCTGCAGCACATCGTGTCCTTCCTGAACTCGCCCACTGGGCATGATTCGTCGCGCTC